CGTGCTAAAATTTAGTTTGGTACCTAAGCCTTCTGTAAACTTGGCCAAAATCTAGATGTGAACCTGGGATCCCGATCCGATACTATAGAACAGGGGTACCATGAAGCCTCACAATCTCTGCGACATAGATGCTCGCCAACCTATTTAGTGAATAGGTGGTCTTAATCGGTAAGAAATGAGCAGACTTTGTCAACCGGTCACAATCACCCTATACCATCATGCTTATATGTATGAGGGAGGCCTATCACGAAGTCCATGGTAATGTGCTCCCATTTGCATTGTGGAATAGGAAGCGGTTGGACAATCCTGCTGGCCTCTGATGTTCAGCCTTAACTTGTTGACAAACTAAGCATCTAGAAACAAACCAGCTACTTCCCTTTTCATACCTGGCCACCAGTAATGTTCCTTTAGAGTACGGTACATCTTTGTACTACCTGGATGCATAGCATAGGCTGACGAATGACCTCCTCTAATATCTCCCTTTTCAACTCTTCCGCATTGGCCACAAAGTCTATTCCCCATCATTAACATACCATCGCCCCTAATCCAAAAATCTTCCGCAACCCCTCACTTACTTCTCCCATTAACTTCATTATATTAGGGTCCATAAACTGAGACTCTCTGATTCGATCCACCAAAATAGGCCAACTTAAATGTGCTAAAAGTACCCCTGACTCATTCATTCCCAACTTAACTCCAAGGTCCTCAACTCCGTAATCAGGGAGAACACACCTTCATATCGCCATGACGCTCGGGGTTTTTCTACTTAGGGCTCCCCACTACGTTGGCTTTACCAGGATGATAATCAATCATACAGTCATAATCCTTGATAAGCTCAATCCACCTTCTCTGCCTCAGATTCAATTCCTTTTGAGTAAACAAATATTTCAAACTTGATGGTCCGTAAAAATCTGACAAGTTACCCCATACAGATAATGCTCCAAATTTTTAAGGCAAGACTACCGCTGCGAGTTCCAAATCATGGGTTGGGTAATTCATCTCGTGTTTCTTGAGTTGCCTGGAGGCAAGGCTTACTCTCCATGTTGCATCAACACACAACCTAAACCTTGACGGGATGCATCACTAAACACCACAAATCCATCATTACCGGAAGGCAAGGTAATACCGGGCTAAGTCAGCCTTACTTTCAATTCCTGGAAACTCCGCTCACAATCGTCATCCCACCTAAACTTTACCTCCTTCCGAGTCAATCTGGTCAAAGGGGCTGCTATCTTAGAAAATCCTTCCACAAATCTCCGATAGTTCCAGCTAACCCGAGGAAACTCCTTACTTCTGTCACATTAACAGGTCTCTCCCAATTCAACACTGCTTCTACTTTCTGGGGATCCACATAAATACCATTTGCTGAGATCACATGACCCAGAACGTATCTGATTGAGCCAAAACTGACACTTACTACTTCGCATAGAGTCTTTTTCCCTGAGGGTTTGTAGACCATCCTGAGGTGCTCCATGTTCCTCCTCATTTCTCGAATACACTAAAATGTCATCAATGAATACAACCCAAACCAGTCCAGGTATGGACGAAACACCCTATTCATCAGATCCATAAAGCTGCGGAGCTTGGTTAAGCCAAAAGGCATCACTTAGAACTCATAATGTCCATAACGGGTCCTGAATGCTGTTTTTGGTATATCAGTCTCCCTAATCTTTAGTTGATGGAACCAGACCTTAGATCTATTTTGGAGAAGACCCTAGCACCCTGCAATTGATCAAAAAGTCATCGATCCGTGGCAAAGGATACTTGTTACCACGGTTACCTTATTTAACTGTCGGTAATCTTGCATAATCTGAAAGTACCATCTTCTTTTTAACAAATAAACTGGTGCTCCCCACGGTGACACACTAGGTCTAATGAAACCCTTATCCACCAATTCTTGCAGTTGTACCTTTAACTCTTGCAATTCCCGTGGTGCCATTCTATAAGGCGTGGATATGGGGGTTGAACCGGGAACCAAATCTATAGTGAACTCAATTTCTCTATCAAGTGGCAAACCAGGAAGGTCTTCAGGAAATACGTCTGGGAATTCCCTCACCACCAAAATATCCTCTACCTCAATTCACTAATTCTAGTGTCCACCACATGAGCTAGATAAGCGGGACATTGTTTCTTGAGTAGTCGCCTGGTAGTCACGCTGAAATAACACAAGAAGGAAGGATACGACGCTCTCCACAAAAACAAACTTTGGTTTCCCTCGCTTCTTAAAGGTTACCTCCTTACGGAAACAATCCACAGTGGCATGATGCAAGGCTAGCCAATCCATTCCCAAATCACATCAAAATCGGGCATGTCTAGGAATCAAATCTACCTGCAACTCATGCTCACCAATCCTCACCAACTACGTTTATCACATACTCAACCATTAAAGAATCTCCCAATAGGGGTGTATATTGCTAATTTACACTCTAAGGTTCTAACTTTCTATTTGCATGCACAGCAAAATGATACGAAACGAAAGATGTGTAGAACCTGGATCAATTAAAATACGGGCCTCATGATCAAAAACAGTCAACATACCCGTAACCACGTCTGGGGAGGCTTGAGCATCCTGCTCGGTGAGAGCAAAGACACGAGCTTGAGTCTGAGGTCGCCCTGTTCCTCTCTGTCTGGCACTATTTCTACCTACAACACTACCTTGGCCCTCTGAACCTGAGATCTCTGTTGTCCTTGAAACTGGCCCCCATTTCCTCTGAAATCTGCTGAACTGAGGCTTATCACCTTGGCCAAAGTGACAATTTCTCTTGATATGCCCAACTGCCCACAATGATAACAACCTGAAGCTCCTTTCGACACTGCCCCGAGTGGAACCTACCACAACTGTTACAGGGTGGTCGTGGCTCTCGCTTGCACCACCACTTTGATACTATTAACTTGAGACCTCATATTCCAATTACCACTGTCTCCTGAATGTTGACTCTGAGCATATCTTTGAATCCGTCCTGAACTGCTCGAGGTCCCGAAAAACTACCCTCTCTTTTCTGATTTCTATTACTAGGGCCACCAACTGTCCACTCACGGTTACCACGTTTCGTCTTCGTGGCTCTCCCTTATCAAACTCTCCAAATTACTCTCAGTTCTCATAGCTATCTCTGTCAATTTCCCAAACTCTGAGCAACAGTGTGAGGCCACTATTGTTCTGATCCTCCTCTGAGGCCCTCCTCAAATTCCTACATTTTGCTCTCCATTTCCGACTATAAGTGGGGCAAACGGGATAACTCAATAAACTTATCAAATATTCCTCCACTGACATATTTCCTTGGGTTAGTTCTGAGAAACTCACTCTGCTTACGTCCTGATACACTACAGGAAAATAATGATCGAAGAACTCCTGACGGAATTGGCCCATAATTGTGTCGGATCCCCATTCTAAGTTGTACCGATCTCCACCAATGACGACCTGCCTTTAAGTAGAAGGGTACAAACCGTAGTTTTGGTCATCAGTGCACTCCATCATCCCAAATACTTGCTCTAATTGATCCATCCAGGAGTCGGCATCGTGGGATCTCCCTCCCCTAAAGTCTGTTGCCCCTAATTTTCTTGCTCTCTCTCTATAGTTTTCCTTCTCCCTGACGCCCTGCGTCCTATCCTGCATTACCCTAGTCATTAGTTGAGCTATCCTATTCATATCAGCTCCATGTTATCCCCATCACCTTGGAGCCCTGTATTTTGTTCATTCACTGGTCCTTCCTCGACATTTTGATTTCGGCATCTTTTCCTCCTGGTCCCTGAGGTCCTGACCTGTGGGATCCGACTCTTCTACTCTCTCTTCCCTAGGCTCACTCACCCTCCTGAGCACTCTAGGAACTATAATTCTCTCACGGATTTCGTGCGAGGCTGCCACGTTGACTCATCTGATATCTACAAAACAAAACAAATTTGTTTCTAAAATAAACTCATGGACGGAAATAAACTTCATTAAGGGACAAATTGGCATGCGTAAAATTTTAAAAAAAAATGCCCTTAAAAATCGAAAACCATGCTCTGATACCAAGTTGCACAACCCGTCCCGAATTTCCTCGTCCCGTAGGATCCGGCGCTCCCAACAGACTCGGATACCCGAGACGTGCCATGTAGGAAAACTGCGAAACCTGTTTAAAGACATACATCTCTTTCGTTTTACAAAAGAAAATAGTTAGGAAACTTTTGGTATCAGGTTTTCCACTTATACAACCCATTCCAAAATATGAAACAAAAGGAAATACATCATGGAAAACATGAGTTCTTGAAACGAAAGTCCAGATTTACAATGCGACAAATATAAGACCCACATAAAAGATGTCAACGCGTGGCACAACCCTGAGCGAGGCTCACTGCTCGGCACGATCTCCGGAAGGTCCTGGTGGGGGGAAAAACATTTAAAAAGGGGTGAGCTAAAAATACTCAGTGAGTGGGGAAAAAGGGGGGAGGTTTATAAAAGTTCTTAAAAAAATAATGCTAACATACAACAATTTCAAGCAAATCATGGCAACAATGTAACTTTAGAATATGCATAGAACAACCACCCCGTCCTCGCAACAATATACAATTTATTTCTAATCATCCTGCACTCAGTAAACTGTACTCTGACTACTTCCTTAACTGTATCGGATTCTGTATAAAACCTCAACATTTATTATTAAACTCTCACCACAACTAGTACCCTGGGGGAAATCTGTCGTACCTGGTGGGCGTCCCACACCAGGCAGAGCGAGGAGTACCTGTCATACCCGCAAGGTCTATCATCGCGCGGCAGAGCCTCAAAATTGTCATACCTGGCGGACCACTCAACGCCCAGGCAGAGCCAATAAAATCTGTCATACGCATGCGCAGAGCCAAAATCTGAAACTGTCATACCCCGAATCCTGCATCGCTCGGGCAGAGCCAAAAATCTGTATCTCTGGGGGATGGGTACTTCGTAGGGTGTTTTAGCACCATAACAATCTCATGCATAATCTCAGTAACATATAGTCAATAACACATTACCTATGCGCTTATAAATCATGCATATACGACATAATATTCAAAAATCACATAGGGCTGAAAATGTAAACTGTAAAACATGTTTCAACAGAACCACAATCACCTTTATACACCTATATGTGTAATATAAAAAAAAAGAAAGAGTTAATTATATGATAAGTCTCATTCTAAATAAATATATATATTCCATTCAACAATTTAATAAGCCAACACCACATTTCCCGTTACCAAACTCTGCAATATGATTTTCTCCACCCTTCAACATAAGCCGAAACCCAACTCTCTCTATAGTGCCACCACACCCCAATCAAGCAGCCATCAACATCAAATTTCATGGGAAAAACATATACATATATTTATTAACCAGCATGAAAGCTTATTAGTTTGGAACAAGATCTAATTCATTATCACCCAAACTTTGCTCAGCCGAAACATGCAAGATAAGTTTTGCAAATAAAACACTTAACTCAAGATTTTGCACCCAAAACATTATAATAGAAATAGATAACTTGACATGCAAACCGGAATTAAGTTTTTTTTTAAAAACACTTTTTGGTTAAACCACTCACTCTTCTATCCTATAATTGGCTGCCTGTTACAGTGCTTAGATTTCGATCTCCACCGTTCAATGTAGAGCGGTGTTTCATGAACAACATATCCGAAAATCAGCACGATCGGACGGCGAATGAGCTCCAGATCACGATTTGATGATCCACTGTTCACAACTTAAAACTAATAAACTCTCCCTTTCTTTGTTCTTCTCTCCTTCTCTCACTCTATCTCTCGGCCAAACCACTCTTTCTTCTCTTCTCTCCCTTTTTTTTCTTTTCTTTTCTTTTCTTTCTCCTTTTCTCTCCTCTCTTCTTTCTTCTTCCCTCTCGTTTTTCTCTTCTTCCTTTGGGCGAACTGCCAGTTCTTCCTTTAAATAAAAACAGTTTTTCTAAAATATTTCTGCCCCCCATTTTTCTCTAATTTCCAGTTTAACCCACCACATAAGCTTTCCTAGCAAAAATGTCCAAATTTTTCCTCTTGATACATGCAAACCCATCAGGATTTATTCTTCGATTTCACCCCCTAACACAGCTTTAAAAACTGACAGAAATACCCCTATCTTACCACAATACCAAAAAATCAAATTAATTAAAAAAAAAAAAGAATTAATTACTTAAATACAATTCATGATCTAACTAAAATCAGGAATGGGGTTTTACACTTGATCTCTTGCAGTTCATACAGCATACTCCTCCACCGGAGTCGCACGCCGAGAATCTAAACTGGATTTCAGGTCTCACTTCCTTGAAGTACCTTAACTTAGGATTTGTGAAACTGGATAGTGCTGGAACTGATTGGCTGCAAGCATTAAATAAACTTTCTGCCCTGGTGGAGCTACGTTTGCATTGGTGTAAACTTCAGGTTCCACTTTCATTGCCATTCATTAACTTCACTTCACTTTCAGTTCTTGATTTGTCAGAAAATTCTTTTAATTCTGAAATCCCTGAATGGTTATTCAACCTTACAAGCCTTTCCAAGCTGTATCTCAGATGGAATTTCTTTAATGGTCCCATTCCTGGTGAGTTTGCAAACCTGAAACTTCTTGAGTTCTTGATTTGTCTAACAATTTGGACCTTGGAGGCGAAATTCCAAGTTTCTTTGGAAACTTTCCAGGCCGAAGAGTTTAGATCTTTCTGCAAACAATTGAACGGTGAGATTCAGGAGTTTTTGGGAGGTTTCTCAAACAGGCCAAACAACTTAGTATTTCGTATCAAGTTCTAATTCACTGGAAGGAGAATTGCCCGAATCATTAGGAAATCTTAAGAATCTGAAATTTCTAGTCCTTTCTGGAAACTCTTTCTGGGTTCAATTCCATCATCTATAGGAAGCTTGTCATCATTGAAAACATTGGACCTCTCCTACAACAGGATGAATAGCACGATTCCGAAAGTTTCGGCCAACTCTCTGAGCGTTTCATGCCGACCTGATGAGAATTCCTGGACAGGAATCTTAAGCGAAGCACACATGATGAAGCTTGGAAGATTAGAATATGTCACAATCACAACAGAACCACCAGGTACTGGTTTTCAATGTTTCCTACAATGGGTTCCTCTTCAGTCAATTTATTCACTTTGACAACTGCCTGGTGGGTCCTTTCTTTCCTTTATGGCTTCAAGTTCAAAGTGACTTGCCTCTGTTAGCCTTGAAATGCTGGAATCTCGGACACTATTCCAGGGGACTGGTTTTCAAACTATCTTCTCAAATCACCTATTTGATTTTATCAAATAACCAGATCCAGGGAAAGCTGCCACACCATTTGGAATTTCCAAATTTAAGGGCCTTGATTTGGGTTCTAATCATTTTGAGGGCCCTTTCCCGGTTTGGTCCACAATGCTCTGAGATCTTTCTTCAGGACAACTTATTTTCAGGATCCTTGCCTGAAAATATTGGCAGCCTAATGCCAAGGCTGCAAAAACTGATCTTTCCTGGAATCGTCTTGACGGAAAAGTCCCCTCATCAATGTGTGAACTAGAAGGTCTGCAAGTTCTTTCCCTTCGGAGCAATAAGTTGTATGGTCAACTCCCCAACTGTTGCACAAATCGCAATGTTATGGGGAATTGATATGTCAAACAACACATTAACTGGCAGCATTCCGAGTTCATTTGGCTCCTTAGCTTCCCTTAGTGTGCTGATGTTGAACAATAATAATCTTGATGGGGAAATCCCTTCTTCCTTGCAAATTGCACAGGACTGACAAGCATTGATCTGGGAGGAAACAGATTTCTTGAAATCTACCCTTGTGGATAGAAAAGTTCTCCTCTTTCTTATGCTTCGCCTTCAATCAAACTTGTTCAGTGAAATATTCCTCCAAGTCTTTGCAATCTTCGGAATCTTCACATCCTGGACCTTTCTCACAACATGCTTCAGGGATATTCCCAGGTGTATTGGAAACCTATCAGGCTTGGTCTTTGGAAACAACACTGAAGTCTTCGAACGGCTGATATATGTTGTGATGAAAGGAAGAGATCCAGAGTACAGAAGCATTATTGTGAGTGTCAACACCATCGACCTTTCGTGGAATAATGTAACAGGAAGAATTCCAGAAGAGATTGCAAGGCTTTCAGCTCTGAGAATGTTGAACTTATCACATAACTATCTTTCAGGGCCATCCTGAAAGCTTGTCAACCCTGAGATCTCTAACCCATTGAACTTATCTTACAACAACTTGGTTGGAAGAATCCCTTCACTGCCACAATTCAATGATCCAGCCATTTTTGACGGCACCCTTGTTGTGTGGGGCTCCTTTGCCTACCATGCCCTGGAGGGAGACGGTTCTAAATTTCTGGAGTTATAATGTAGTCCGAAGGCATGTCTTCTTTCAGCTCTTTGATGACATAAAGAAATGAAGGAGCTTAAGGTCTCTAGTATCTAATAATAATATCTATCAATCTATTCAAACTTCAGAGTTAAAAAAAAAAAAAAAAAAAAAAAAAAAATGAAAACATACTGCCATATCCTTCTTATATACACCATAGACTTGCTTTACAAAACATGAAATAGATGACATTGTAAAATGATGAATTTAGTCTTTGACAGTTGATCGTATATCAAAAGATTTACTGCCTCACAGAGGAGAAATTCATATTAAGAAAAGATACAGAATTGCATAACTAATAACTCCCAGTGAGTTCTATCAGAAGTTGAAAGGGATGATAAACATGCGGCGTAATGCGGTTTTGAGACCAGATAGGGAGAAAAGAGGAAAGAACAGCAATGCCACCAACTAAGTTTGCTCACCACAAGGTATACACCACAATGAATGCTAAGTTCATCATAATCAGAGAAATCCCCATCAATGGCAGCGCCAATCGGACGACCATTAGCACCAGATCATAGGCATCACCCATCTGTCCCCGAGAAAGTGACTGCAGCTAAAATGGAGCTGTCACTAGCTATGGTGTCGCAGAAATAAATATTCCAAACACATTGCGTCCTAACGGTTGCCATGCCCTCGTCTGGGTCAGAGTTTTTAAAGCCACCGGCATTGTGAATCCAGCTGCATATGTTGCTGTGACCACGAAGGTTGAAACCACAAAAAGAGTGTTGACTCTGTCCTTGTAGTGTCCTTTCAGGTGGCTTCGAATCTGATGACTTTTCATATGCATTCGTAATCTTTGTAGGAGCTCGCGGTGCTCCGCTGCTTTTAATGCCACCCATGTTAATCGCTGCAAGATGGCAAGTTTATGTCATAAATTTTCAGGTTCAAAAGTTTATAGTTTTGTAATTGAAAATTAAAAGCAATCAATCTCAATTGCATACCAAGCGAAAAGAGTACACCGTATCTTTTCATGTGATTCTTGCAGCATCAAAAGCTGTCATTCTTTCATTGTTTACCAATGTCAGTCCACTCTCTCATCCCATGTCAAAGCACTAACAATCTCGGGTGCCGTTGATGACGCCAAATGCAAGGGCGTATTCCATCCTTATCCCTCTGGTTTATAGCATCTTCAGCTCAGGAATTCCGAGAACATACCTGACAACATTAAATGCTCCACTCCGAGCCGCAAAGTGAGCATATTTTGGTCATACTGTCGAGCATCTTCCAAGGATCGGGGCGTTTAGAAAGAACTTCTCAACAACGGAAACATTCTTCAATAGCCGCCATATGAATTGGAAAGGCGCCTCTGTTGTCCCTCTGAACAACAATGAAAGAAAAGTATGTTAATAAGTAGTCAACAGCCTCAAGATAACCAACAGATGCAGCCAGGTGAAGCACCGTCCTTTCTTCTTCGTCTCTTCCATGGATGAACTTTGGCTCCTTCCCCAATAGGAATATCAAGATATCTTGCATTTCTCAATAATAAATAAATAATCCTTGTCATTAGAAGTTTAACCACATCAATAGAGAGTTACAATGTTCATAGGAATCCAGGTCATTACCGGTCGCCGTTATTTCACTGGCAGTAGCACTAAGAATGGCAGCATGAATAGGTGATTTTCCTTTCAGTCTTTCTTCTGTGTTCACTGCTTCAGTTGACTCCAACATAGATTCGAGACATATTAAGGAACCAGCTTCAGCAGCCAGACACAAAGGAGTCTTACTTTCATTGTTTAGGTTGAAAGAAACTTAAGGATCTGCTTCAATTAACGCTTGAGCAACGGCTGTATGGCCGTTTATCAAGGCCTCTTGCAAAGCAGTGTTTCCGTCTTCATTCTTTAGCCCAAGAAACAATGATCTATCATAATCAGCCGGGCGCAAAGCAGTGATTCCTTCTTCGTTCTGTAGCCGAAATGAAAACGGTAAATTGTAATCATCCTCTCTGAACGTAACCCTTTCCAACCCATCATCACTTGAAGTTAAAAATGAAGACTCAACCTGTGGATAAATGACAGCTGTCACAGTGGATAAATGTCCAGCTTTTGCAGCAACATGCAGAGCAGTGTCTCCTTTCGAGTTCTTCCTATCGAGAATCGGTAGACTGATCAGATAATCGGCAATCAAGCCCACAGTCGCCGTGCTGTCAAAACTCGCGGCCACATGGAGCAATGTATTGCTGGACTCAACAGTTTCATATAGGAAGCTTGAAGCAAGCTCCTCCACAGTTTCATCACTCCTAAAAAAGAAGTTGAGGATGAGATCAACATCATCTTCCTTGGCAGCTTTGTACAACTTCACCTGTGTCTCATAGATTTTTGTCAAACGATATTCAATGGCTGAACTGGACAATGTCAAGCTGATTTCCGAGTTTGAGGTTGATGCCACAGTTTGGTTGATTCGAGTTGACCTTTCCCTTAAACTCTGAATTTTTCGCTTTCTCTCTAATTCCCTGAGCTTGCGGTCCAGCTCCCTACTCCCGGCCTGCTCTCTCCTCCCGTAAGTTTTCAAATAAAAAATGGCTCCCATATCCGCGAACGAATTCTTATGGGAGATGAGTTCTTTCTAAAGTATATAAAGCCGGGATCCAGGAGAGCTATTTGTCGGCTTCAAATTTTGTATAAAATACAGTTAAAAGACATTACGCCCGAGCTTTGATGCAATAACAAAAATCTCTCTATAATTTAAAAACAGTAAACAACTTTTTCCCGCCCAAATTAGAGAAGAAAGATAGGACGGTCAAAAGTTTATTATAAATAAGGGTATAATGATCAATTAATATTATGTATCAAAAATTAAAAAATCAAAGAATTGGTGGGCGTGTTTCAATTCAAAGGTAGGTGGATTGGTGGCTGGCGGCAATGAAATTGTGTTACGATCAATCCACAACAACAAAGGACTCCAAATACAATCAAAATCCTTCCAAAACAACTCCAAAAAAAAAAACTCTGACTGACTCTCAAATTGATTGTCTCGCGCAACAACCAAATGGGCGGGTGGACGGCTTTCAACGAAGGACCAGACATCGGAATGCTGGGGGTTTTGTTAAAGGGGTGACGGTGAGATATGGGTGGGACGGGTGGGGTTTGGCCACCGGAATAACCGTGGGTCGTGGTTACGATTTGGCCGGTCCAGCGAATTCAAAGTTCCCGTGAGCAAAACATGCAATCACCGCAACACACAACAAACATAAATCAAGAAAATCATATCAAAAAGAAATCAAAAATCAAGTTTTCTCCGGTCAACTCGGATTTGAGAGGAAAAAAAAAAGGAAGCAGCAGCAGCCCCCCAGAGAGAGGAAAGATAAGAAGAGCGAAGAGGAAAAGAAAGAGAGAAAAAGAAGGAAGAAAAGAAAAGGAATGGGAGAGACGAAGCAGAGAGAAATGGCATGGGCGATACTGCTCGATTGAGAGGGAAAGAGAGAAAAGCGAGGAAGAAGAAAGAAGAAAGAGAGAAAGAGAGAAAGCGGCCTGGGTGCGATGAGAGTGGAAGAGAAGAAAGAGAAGGAAAACAAAAAGAAAGAAGAATGAGGAAAAAGAAAGGCCGAACGACTTCTGCATACCCAAAGTTTGTCAAAACGTAAGTTGTACCCAAAAGTTTTAAAACAAAATAGGTACCTTCTATACTGTTCTATAGGGATTTGTTAGAAAAGTGAAAAGGCATAAAATGCCCTTGAAAGTTTAATTTTAGTTTTAATTTAAATAAAAATTCTAAAACCCCTCTATTTAGCTTTACTTAATTGTGACTAAACACCCCAATAAAAATTTTTATAAATAACAAAACACCCCCACACCGCTGTGCCAGATCCGGCCACCACCATCGGAATCTGGCCAGAAAATTGCGTTACGACACAGACCCAATCGTATTGTCGTAACGCGTAGATCTTATTTTTCGACAAGATTGTGGCTGATCTGGTCAGAAAAGCCGTAGATCTGGCCGTCGAGACCGGAAACTTGCCAGAAAATTGTGTCGGATCTGTGTCGTAACACGTCATCTGGTATTTTCTGGCCAGATCTGGCCGTCAGAGGCCGAACAAAGGCCAGATCCGTGGCAGATCGGTTTGTGTACGACACAGATCGAGGGTCTGTGTGTAATGGTGGCCGGAATCGGCACTGTGGGTGGCAGGGGTGTATTTGTTATTTATCAAGTTGTTTATATTGGGGTATTTAGTCAAATTAGCAAACTCTGGGTTTTTTAGAAATTTTTTAAATTTATAAAAAACTAAAAAATAAACTTTCAAGGGCATTTTAGTCTTTTCACTATTATCTAACGAAATTCACTAACAGAACATGACGAAGGTACTTATTTATCGTTTCAAAATTTTTTTGAGTACCAAATGTTGTTTCGACAAACATGGGTATGTATAAGTCATCTCCCAAAAAGAAAAGGGCAGGGGAAGACCAAAAAAAAAAAGGCGGCGGATGCAATTGAGAGAGGAAAGAGAATATAGAAGGGCAGAAAACACAAGAGAGGAGAAAAAAAATTAAGGGCAAATTGATAATTAATACAAACAGTAAAGGGTATTTTGGTTTCACATTCATAATGAATATAACGGATAACATAAGTATAATTCAAATTATTATGTCCCTGTTCTTAAATATAGTTCAAATGTTTTTTTATTGCTACAAAAAAAATTACTTATATTCCGCAGTGTGTCTTCGTGAAAACAATGTAATTTCAAAATAATTCACTGTGCTAATGAATGATAATAAAAATAAGATAAAATTCATTAATATTTGTGTAATCAAATTCACTAATGTAGACGTAAAAATATAACCTGAACGGAAGGGGGGTTGATCCCGTGAGGTCAAGGCCCCTAGCGATATGCTGCACCCTGACACGTAGGAGAACACACAACACGTGAAGCGAAGGGAAACACCTGAGTGGTGTTCGGTAGGCACTCCGACGCTCAGTCAGCCAAGACGAAAGGGGCTATTTAGTGAGGGGTAAGGAGAGGAGATTACGGAGTCTAGTCGGAGACTGTGACTACGGTGACCCAAGAAACTCTCGGAGTGAAGAGTTTCGGGTGTGGAGGGTTGTAATGTCCATTGCCCCCTGTAAGAGGGCTATACCTCTGTTTATATAGTGAATCGTCAGTCTCCAATTCTTGGAGAGTAGGAGTCTAGTACGACTCTGATACAACCCAGGAATTAGGATTTTGTGGTAAGCATGTCTTACCCGTGTCAAGTCTAGGGAAGGTGATTCTGAGTAATAGGTATATCGAGTAGAAGTGATCAGGAATAGGAAAGTATCCTGAGGGGGGTGTGGGCTTTGGATTTGTCCCTGGACCTAGGACATGGTCCGTTTGAGAGGCTTGTGCCTGCTCCAGTTTGGGCCGTTCAGTTATCTCATGTAGAGAGAACCTATGGCTTGGGCCTCAGTAGGATGGACTGGTTTCCTTTTTCCTATTGGGACAAGGACGATTTGTTGGCCCTAACAGTGTCCCCACTCTTGGGTGGGATCTCAAGTTAGAGAGTTAGGTCGTTGACTCAAGGACGAGCTGTTATTTCACCATGGGCGAGCAATAATGGAGAAAGCAGAATGAGCGGCAGCGATTTGGTTGGGTGCTGGCGATATTCATTCCCGAACAAGGCATGCCGCACGTGTTGTGCCTGATCGGTTCGTGAGAGAAAGAGCGAAAGCAGGTCGGGTCGCCGGTTATGTTAGCACGATTATCGTAGAAAAGAAACACCGCGAGAACGGTTGTTCGTCCTTCTCGGTCGGGCGAAAACCAAAATGTTTACCGAGATTCTTGGTCGGGCTTAGGGACGACCAGATGGGGAAAAGTGACCCATCGTTATGCAGGATGGGCGACCTATATGGACGACGGCTTGAGGGCTTCTTCTGAAGGTTTAACTCGGGCTACGCCGAGCTCATGAGTCATCGTTCCAGCTCTCCGGGCGTCGGCGAACGTGAGGTCCGAGAAGGCTGCTGAGACGTTTGGAGAAACCGTTGTGTCGCTCAGGACTCGGTGCGACCTCGTTCAGTGGAAACCAAAAACGAGTCTCTTGGTGGGCGGTAGGGCGACCAGAGGGAGAAAATGTTGGACCAATCGTCGCCTCGGATGGGCGGAATGGACGGGCTGATGGCTTCATGAAGGTTTTAACTCGGGGGTACGCACGACATGGCGGTCCATCGTTCCAGCCTTCCGGGTCGGCTAGCCAGAACGAAGTGGAGCGGTACGAGAAGGCTCTGGCTTGAGAAACTCGGCTACTGCGTGCTATCTAGGAGGAACGGTTGTGACGTCCTGCAACGGATGCGAAACCCAAACAAGGTAATACCAAAAGATCCCTCTTGGTACGGGAACTGTAGGGACGACCAGAGTGGGAGCAAACAATGTTGACCATCGTGCTCGCTATGGGATCGAGATGACGAAACAGGTAACCGAGGCGAGGCTATCTCTGAAGGTTTAACGTCGGGCTACGCGAGCATTCAGGTCATCGTCTGAGCATCTAGGGTCTCGGTCGAGTGCACGCGCCGCGTTCAGGTCCTGGTGAGAAACGTCGGTAGGTGGGAGGGTTCGATAGGCCATTGTGCGCTGATCGGGTCAAATTTTGTTGTGCTGTGTAAGGGACGTACGCTGATATGTTTCCGTCTGGAGCGGTAGGGCGGGCGGTGACGAGATGCGGACATCTAGCAGTGCACGATGTCCCAGGTGGTAGTGATCGATTTGCACGTGACGGTGGAGAAAATTCCGTCTGTTTCGGAGCGGGAACGAAGAACGAAAGACTTCTGACAGACTGATCAATCATAGCCTGCACGTGCCCACCTTTCTTTACAAAATTGGGAGCGAAGGAATGTTCGTCTTCCACTGTCACGTTGGTTTTGCGTTTTCTCCAAAAAACCTTCACCCTTTCTCTGGTTTTTGTCCAAGGGGTCTTGAGCGAAAGTGGTATTCATTCCAGTTACCAAAGTTAATTTCTTTCTTTTTGGCGTCGTTTTTGTTGTTCTTTTAGGTAGGTATTTTTTTTCTTTGGTAAGTTTCTGGAAGTAAAGCAAGAAGTTTACAGAAAGTCGAGTTGTGGGTTTAGTACTGGGTTTTAGGCGTTTTTGGTGTAATTAGCATACAAGAGAAATTTCTCAGGTTTGAGTGTTCCGTCGGAGTTTCTGGGCAGAACTGGTCGTAGGTGAAATTCTGGGTTCACCTTTCCTGGGTTACATTGGAAGACGGAAGTCACATTTTGGCTGTTTGGAGTCGGTCGTACGTCTGACCGGTGGCTAAAAGTTGGATAGGGGGTAACGGTCGCTTGGGTGGCAGCGTGAGTAGGGATCAAAGACCGCAGACTTGGGGTGACGTTCAGGTGGATCGGTCGGCCGGGGCGCACGACTCAGCGTCTTGCGAGTCTGGCTGAGGTTGTTGTTGGATAGGTCGAACGGAGTAGGGATCTTGCGGTGAGCAAGCAGGTTCACCCTTTCGGTCGGTGGTCGGTAGGTGGGGTGACTGGTGTTCATTCGGTAGAAAAGGGTGACGAGGCTAAGTTCGGTTTGGTGAGGAGTCGGTCGTTGGAGCGGGCTAAGTGATCCGAGTGTCGGGTGATACGTCGAAAGTCGAGTCGGAAGGAGAGGGGGACGAGTAACGAGAGTGCCCCCACATATGGTGTAATGCCTAGAAGGGGATGTTCCGGTCGGTGTCGACCGGAGAGTTAGTGTGGCAGGCTCCAGGGCCGAGTGGAGGGGCTGAGTGGGAGTGGGCGGAGTGGAGCTGGGACCGAGTGGCGCGGCGGTTGGTGAGGAGTGGGGGAAGACTCGGAGCTGACAAGAACCCCACGTCCGGGTGAGTAAGGCTCTGAAGAGGGGCCAGCCAGCAGGGTAGTGGGATTCTGAACAGGGGGACTATCGTCCGTGCTGAGGGATTAGTGGACGTGTGGCAGCACTCTACCCTGTATCATATTCCACGTTTTGTTAAGGTTCGGCCCCACGGTCGTGACGGCGTTGTGATTGGGAGGCGTGCAAGGTGTGGGTTTGCGTATATGAGATGGTCGGTTGCCAAGAGGGGTTGAGGGGGTTGCTGTGCCTCAGCTAGTCTGGGAGGTGTGATCATCATTATCGCCTCCACAGCTTATGCCGAATGCCCTGGAGGCTGTTGATGGGCTGTGGAGGAGCTGTGAGGTGTGTCGGCAATCAGATTGTGTTGTGTTGCCAGATGCTGTACTCGTACTTCCTGAAAGGAGAAAGGATAAGGAGAAAGGGTCGAATTACTAACTGAGGACACGATAGTCTCATATAGTAATCCGACGCGGTCCAGGACAAAAACTGGGAAAGGACCGTATTTTTTTT